TCGCAATGAACGAAGCGCAGGTCACAGAGCAGAGTTAGCGCTGGGCATCACCCTTTCCATCTGTGGGCATCACACCAAAAAGAAAGAGGGCTCAAGCCCTTCCTCATTTCTCCTAAAGCCAATGGATTAATGGGATGCACTGCTGCGTTCCTCACTCCCAGTATTTCTGAGCTTCTATTACTGGTTTAGAAGCTGTGGATGCATGTGGAAAGAGCCCAAGAATTAGAAGACATGAATCTGATCTTTAGCTTTGACACCTCAGTGTCCCCATTTGTACCACAAGAGAGCAAGTCTGGAGAGACGCGGAAGCATCCTTGAAATCATGTTGTGAGAGTCAAAGTAGGAAATGTTATGACGTTGTTGTCTGCCACCGAGTACTGTTTGAAGTCCTGCCTTCTCCCTGGTCAGAGATGCATCTGGGCCAATTTATAACGTGAGATAAAAAACAAAAGCGGAGTATCTCACCAGTGTCCTCTCTTTTCCAGCTATAAAGGGATAGTAGCTTTTTATTTGGGCTCACCTCCTGGGACTCCTTTTGAGGAAATTATTAAATCAAACTGTAATGTGGGTGGTTTTGTGGTGTAGATAAAAGCCCAGGAGGGACTCATCAAAAAAGCACTGCATCCAAGTTGCTGACTAAACAATATGGACTTGAGTCTCTAGAGATGCAAAGTGAATGTGTTATTAGCAGCGTGACTTATGGAAGCAAATTTCCAACAGAAAGTACAAGCAAAAATACAGTTTTAAAAGGGCGAACTCATTTTGTATGCCAGGTTTCCTAGAGTAAACCCAGCCTTCTGTAGGAATAGTAGAATGTCTTGTTATCCATTCTATACATTTAATATGAAAACTCTACATTATTGTTTTTATTTATTATTTATAGAGTGCAAGAGAACAACATTCGCAGTATTCCATGCGAATGCGGCAGGCATAGCCTCTGCCTCTGGGGAAGTCTGATCCAACCCAGATGTAGAGAGGATTACCCCCAGCCCCAAAGCAGACAGCGTGATCCCTCCTGCCATGCTAAAGTGGAACACGGCTAGGATAAAGGGGGCTCTCCCTGCTGAAGTCTGATCCTATTTGACATCAGTGATGTGACCGCTGAATTGTTTGGTCTTGTTAGCCATTAAGGTCTCACAAAGTTCAGTTCAAAATACAAGAAGGAAGAGCCTTCACCCCAAGGGTAATAAGGGGGTAATAAGGAAGAAAAGCAGTGACTCATATGTACTGTCCTTATAAAACAATAAATCCCCTTCAGCAGAAGGAGGAAACAGATTAAAGGAAAATAAAACGTCTCCCCACTCAGAGATTAAACTAAACGAAATCCCTCCACCCCTGTAAGTGAGCATTTGTCTCATGCTTTTTACCCCAGTACCCAGCTTCTAACACTCTGCCTAGCACAGACACTCAAGGAAAAATTTTCATTATTCCCCCACAAACCATCATTAGCCATTTTAAAATATCATTCTTATTTCTGCTACATCAGAGTGGAAATAATCCAGAAAGCTGGATTTTAAGGGTTTAACAATCACAAGGCTCCCGCCCACCTGGGGTAAGGCCTACAGAGGGAAATGGAGTCGGCACAGCAAACCTGTCGCCAGCCTCACATGCCAGCATGGTTTGGGGCAGTTAGTAGGTGCTCAATCAACACTGACGGAGGGAGGGCCACACGGTACCCTCTGCCGGCAGATGCAAGAATTTACATTATATTCAGCCCTAGTCAATAAACTGTCCTCCCATAGAAAGTAAGCTCCCCCTTATTCTGGTGAAAGAGAATCTGAGATAGAAAAGGCAGAGGACATACTTTTCTCAGAAGAAAACTGAGATGAGGTTGTGCTTCCTATGCAAATGCAAACAGATGGACTAGGTGGCAGCGATACGGAATTGTGACATTATTTCACTCCAAGCTTTATAGCAGGAACCTGGCTCAGAAGTCTGAAACTGTATATTGAATTTAATAGGGCCCCACTGAAACAAAGTGCGAAGTCAGAGCTAAAAACCAAAAGCAGAATAAAGCTGGTGGAGATCTACCAGGTCACAAATGCAAGTGACCCCACGTTTCCTCCCGGGCTGATTTGCTCATTTTAAGTCTCTTTCTTTGAGCTTCATAACCAGTTTGGTGTTTTTCATCTGGAACCTGAGAAATCACTGGCCTTGAAGCATAAGACCAAATTGTGAACCTGAACTGAACTTACTTTAAAAAAAAAAGTTTTGTAGAGACATCTGTGTCTTTACACACTGAAGTGTGTGTGCTGCGCACACCTCTACATTACCTGTGACTACAAAGTGAAGTTAACCAACAGGGCAAACAGTTTCAGGCTATGGAAGTGACCATAAAAAAAAAAATGTCTAAAGGCAGAGTTTAGAAAGGTCAACTAGGGGGAGAAAAAAGCATGATCTTGGGGGATTTCACAGGTTTCCAGCCCCACAGAATGGCTGTTACAGCTCGCAGCACACAGTTTTGGGAAAGAGACTGGATAAGGGACAGCAGGAGTAAGTTAAAAGAGTTTGTTCAGTGAGGATAGTTGGAAGGTGACATAGCTTTAGAGCCAGACTGTGTGAAGTCTGCTGAAATAATGAAAATCAGACCTTTCACCAAAAAAAGGGAATGTCCCAGACTACATCACCAGAAGATAGCAGAAGCGCCACAAAACGTGCATGTGCGTGCGTCTGTTTACTGGGCACTCACGTAAGGTACCGACTGCACATATTAATCAAAAAGCACTACCCCTCCCTCCACTTTTCTATTACCTGTCCTACTTGGTACCAATTTCCTTTCTCCTTCCCAACACCCCTTGCTTCACTGTTCTTCTTGAAGACATGGGATAGGGATTTGTCAAAGTCAATGAGCACTTTATTACAGTAAGAACGTTCTGTAATGAACAATTCAGCAATTTAATGAGATTCTGTAGATCTGTCTCCAGCCTGTCCATCAAGTATCGCTTCTATAAAGCACCCTGACACTAATCCTCTGGCATCCCCTATCTTCACCCTGGGCTGAATATTAGATCCTTCCATGGTATATTGCATTATCAGTATAACCTCGGCAAAAATGATGAACTTAACTGTACTTGAAGCAATATAGCTGGTCTGATTTGATTTTTCTCTATTGGGTTGAGTGGAGGGAATTACTTATTTACTAAGAGAAAGCAAAAACAGTTTCTTATTGCCTGCTGAGTGCCTAAATTGATCATATTTATGTGAGCCTTTTAATTCTTTCTTGAGGACGAAGTATAAAAAAATACTGCCTGCAACAGAAAGCAGTTTTTAAAATTCTACGTTATAATATTAGTAACCTTTAGAGAGGCAATTATGATAACTCTTAGGTGGACGACAGTATGGAATTCTTTGGACACTCAGACATATCCACATTTCTGTGTCCATCTCTGGAAGGGCATTCAACCATGAAGAGACGGAAGCCACAGGCATGGTTGCCTCAGATCTCAATTCAGTAAGAAATAATTCAATGAAGATATTCATTCCAAGTCTACCTTTTCCCTTTCGGGAAGTGAACAAAAATTTGGTCATTTCCCACTTTGAACTGACAAGAAAGTCCTGATTATTTGTATTTATAGGGGGAGAACAGAGATAATTAAAATTCATACCAAAAACTCATCCTTGCCAACACTTTTGACCTCTACCGGAACGCACATGATCAGAAATAACCTAAAAATCAGAAAAAATGTATGACTTGTTTTTCCTCCCGTTTTTTTCTTTGCCAAGACCATGTGTCATACTGTGGAGCTGAGGGCAGGTGTCAGCAGACCTGGCTGTGAGGACTGGCTTTGCTCTGAGACTCTGAGCTTCTGAACAAGGCACGGAAGCTTCATTTTGCTGATCTAGAAGATGGGATGAATACAGCCATCCTTCAGGCCTTTTGTGATGAAAGATCAGTAAGCCTGCAAAAAGCCCGTGTCCTGGAAGGCCCTCAGTAGTCTACAGCTCTTCTCCTCATTGGTGGAAGCAATGGTGAAAAGAGAAGCTGGTTAAAGTAATACAAAGAAAGAAAGGAGGAAAGACATCAGCCAGACTATCAATCAGTACATCTGATGCTACCTCTGACTCCGTTTTGGCCAGAATCAGACTACTCTCTAAATGTCATCTGATAAAATACCAGGAATTCACTGCCTTATCAACTAGTAGAAGACTTCATATTTTCCCTTGTCCTCTGTATATATCTTTCAAGTGATTGTGAAATCTTGGAGGCATGCTGCCCTAGAAATAACAAGATGGCCAGCCAGTCCTTCAGAGAGTGAGACAGACAATGTAAGCCGAGGGGAAGAGGATGGGCTTTGTTTGTCTTCCAAAGACGCCATGTGGATTGTTCAAGGATAGTCACTGGGGAAGGAGCTGAAAAGGATTTAAATTGAATAATCAACTTGAAAACATGAAACATCCTCATGTCCCCTAAACAAAGGATATTCCCCCCAAAAATGTATATCAGGCGAAAAGGCAGGGCTTAGGAAAAGAGCGGTGAATGCAGAATGAAGTAAGGGGAGAGATTTTTGCAGTGCAATGGAGAGCTTCGTTTCATCTCACACCCCAGCTGCTCTCTACCGCAACAAAGAACTGCCTCTGAATTGTTTACAGGAAAGCCCAGAATTTATTCTCTTTCCATTCGTCTTAAATATGCATAGATAGCACTTGAAAATCCATTCTTCTCATTCTGACTTTAAGAAACTATTTGTTATCAGGTGAAAAAAAAAAACCCTCTGACTCTTTCTGATATAACCCCCTTAGGATTTGGGGAAGCCACCCCAGGGTCTGCGGAATCTCACCTGCGATTACCCTGAGCTAAACTCAGCAGGCTGAGGCCCCGGAGCCTCCAGGGCTGGCTGTTCTCCAACTACTTGCCCATCAAAGGAGAATAACTTCTAAGATTTCTACTCCGATAAGGACCAAACCAGACAAAATAGTTACCACTGCTCCCCAGTCCCTGAACTTCTGATCATTCCGTGCCTTCTGCATGCCAAAAGACAACCTGTGCGGAGTGCCCTTACCTGCCAGATCTGCTCTTCACTCAAGGAGGTGAGGCGGTCGCTCTTCAGGACCTCCTGAAGTAGACAATAAGGAAGCGTTAGAATGTCTTCAGGGCGACTCTTCAGGAGTTCAGAGAGATGTTTCACTAAGAAATCGATCACGGCCTTCTCCAGCAACGTGAGGTTAAAGAGGTCAGCAAGTCTGTACAGATCCAAGTAATTAAAGCTATTTAATTCCTGGGTGCCAAAGAAAATAGAAATGGAAAAAAAGATCTCTTAGAAATCAATCCATGATAAAGCAGGCAAGAAGTTCATATTGATTCAACAAGGTTTGCATGACAGGAGTAGGAGAAATGGCACTACATTCCACTGATCACGTAAAGCCAAACACCTCAACTGTAAGGCTCTGGCAGAGAGCTGCTGTTCTAGAATCTATCACTTCACCTCACTCGGCCCTTCTTAAAACCTATATATTTAAAGATATCTGAATAAAGAGGTGGCAAGGGGTTTCTGGTTTCACTGCCTGAAATGTCACTTTGCAGTCTTTAGGGAAAGTTTACCAATGAAGACAATTTTTCTTCCCTTACCATGTTTTATGTCTCTCATGTGATAAGTTTTCTTTCTACTAAAGACTGTGTGAAGGCAGGTAAAGTGGGAGTCATGTTTAGATGACAGAAATTACATGAAGACAAATGGACTGACAACTTTTTTTCCAAAACTTCAAATTAAGTAAGTGTTTGAGTAAAAATGACCCATCCTAACTTAATGAAATGAAGACACAGATTTTTACAAATAAGGTGGTAGGAAATGGAGAAATCTCACAGGCAAGATTCCTGTCCTCAATAATTCTGTAATGAGTCCACTTAAGATGACCAGTTTATAATTGTTCTTTGTTTTATGTTAGCCTGGAAAATGCAGAAAAACCAATGGCAATCTTTCCCTCTTTTCAAAGACTTCCTGTAGCAGTGCTTAATTTTGGTGGTGGTGGGGGGTGTTACTGTCTCTACACATTGTCAAACTCGTAGCAGGGGCTCCAAAATAATGCTCCTGGGGAACCGGTGGAACCACTATCTGGTGACTGCAGGAATCAGAGTGGGCACACAGGTTTGTTGACAAAAAACTTACCTATTTCAAGTAGAATGGGAGTGGGCCATCTCCAAGCTTCCCCTCATTTTTAACTTGTAATTATTAATACATGAACGATAGTTTCTGGTAACTTAAGGAGTGCAGATACCATCTGATAGCTATTTGACTCCATTGATCTATTTAAGTAATTTTCAACATACTTTACTCCTTGTCCAGTTAAGAATACTAAGAACACTTTCTCAAATAGTTACATTGTATTTTAATGTATTTCTTTCTATAATGTTGAAAATGTAAAGGGATATGGTCTAAATCTGTGCTCTTCAACACAGTAGCCACTAGCCACGTGTGGCTATAGAGCACTTGAAATGAGGTAGTCTGATCTGAGAGGTGCTCTGTGTTGATGTACTGAATGCATGGAGTAAGAAACATGGAAGGTAAAATTAGCTCATTAGTAAGTTTATACTGATTATATGTTGATAATATTCGGGATATAGTGGGTTAAATATATGATTATAATGAATTTCACCTGTTTCTTTTAACTTTTTTTAATACAGTCAATGGAAAATTAAAAATTACATATGTGGCCCCCATCCTGTTTCTATAGGACAATGCTGTCCTGCTGTTCCAAATAATGAAAGGTATAACAATGAAATTATGAAAACAGCTCTCCAAGGAATAACTGCATCATCACCACGGCTACCTGATTAAACTTTTTAACTTTAAATTCTATTTCGTTTGTTGGGAGATGACACTTTAATTGTATTCCTAACAGGAAATAACCTAGATGACAGGAATCAACCGTAAGATTTTGGCTCTGAACAGCTCTAATTGCCAATACAACTGAAAAGGAATAAATGCTTCCCTTTAAAATGAAGTTTACTGCAGAAGACCACTAAAATCCTTTGCAGCCCAAATAACTAACGGTCCACCCATAGCCATTCAATCAAAATATCCTGGCTTCCCATTCAGTAGATTTTATCCACCCATTCAGTAGATTTTATCAAAGGAATACGATTTTGACTCCAGTTCCAATTTTTTCAAGTAATGTTTAAACTTGTTCTCCAAATCTTACTTTTTAGGAGTGGTGAATTCCACTCCGGAAAGAACGAAGGGGCAACCCTTGCACTTGGAGCGTCCCTAGTAAACTTCTGGACCATCTCCGCGGGATGAATGTATTAGATCTGGTCGGAATGTCTATGCGACAAGTTTAACTGCTTCAGGACCCTGGATAACGATTTCAGTGTCCCAGGAAAGTACTCTGCGGTCCCCAGAAGCCTGATGGGGGCGGGGACGGGGGCGGGGAGCGCCAGTGCCTCTCAGGTACCCAAGGCTCAAGGTCCTGAGACAGCCCGCAGAGACCGCAGAGAGACGAGCATGCGCAGAGGCAGAAACAAAAAGCTCTGCCAAGTCCAAAGTGGATGCGTGGAGCTTGGGAGGAATGGCTTTTCCCACTTGTTCTCCTGCCATAACTACGAGGTTGGGGCTGGATTACACAGCAGCAACCAAATATGCCTTATTAGGCATCTTTATATCTATATGGAGATCCTAGATTTCTTCTAGTCAGAAGCCTGCAGCTTAAAAGCAGGCCAGTTTCAAACTACGAAGAACCAGAGAATTTAATGGGAAATTTTTTAAAATTGCACTTTTCAACTGTGTTCTTGTCTTAAAGGTAATTATTTAATGCCTGCTTCCACCATCCTAGAATGTTTCCCTTTCCTATAAGAGTATAATCTTCTCTAATCCCCGAATCCGATCTAACATAGCATTTCCTATTAGTGGAGTACTAAGAAGGCTAACTGAATAGAAAAGGCCACTGAACAGACACATGTACAAGAGAAACATCAGTTAAAAGTATGCTCTCTATCTTTACCTTTTCCTTTATCTTCTGCTTAAATCCATCATTTCCCCACATCACTAGTGATTTCTACGTAAGTCAAAGATTTCCATTCCCATTGCCATGCATACTTAGGAACTCAGTAGTTAAACTGTATAAAGTGGGAGTTGAAGGAAAAGAGAAAAACCACCTTCACGGAGCTCATGATGCCATGATATACATTCCTCTTCTTGGGGCAGACGGGCTTTGTGAGCTTCAAGCAAAATCATCACTTATTGTCCTTTCAGCTAAGACCATATATAAGCAAAATAATGACCGATGATGCTGCTTTAAAGGATTCCCAATAATGTGATGGGAAGAACTGGCAAGCTATGCCCACCTATAATATTGTGCATGGAAAAGAAAGTCATTGATGTTATGAATGTTGTTGAATTTTGTTTCCAGTTATAAAAAGTAGTAAGTGCTCATTTCATACAATTCAGGAAATACAAAGTGTGGAAAGGTCATTCAGATTTGACCATGCAGAGACATTATTATTGTTTTTGTATATATGCTTCTAGACTTTTGAAAGAAGTCTTTTTACATCAAAGAAAGAGAAAAAATAATTGCATCCCATCAGCAGCCATGGGCACTTAGAGTCAATCCAAGTTTGTGGAGAAGAACAAAGGCCACAGAATCAGGGAGACCTGGTCAAATCCAGCCCTAACACTGACCGTTGGTTCAAGGTCATGACCATAGGGTTGTCATGGGGATACTTACTGAAAAGCACTTAACCACACAGCCTGGCACATAAAAAGTAGACAGTAGATTTGGTGGGCAAGGAACAATAAAGTATATTTGAGGGCATTGTTGTTTGACATCCACAAACCCTGATTCACCACTAATAGAAGCAAGTCAAAATGAAGAATGTGGTCCCTCTAAATATCAAAGACTTAAAGAAGCTGCAACATTAAGTCAGGGAAAAGAGGATGGCCAGAGTAAAAACCACACAGTTGACTTATAAACAGTTGACATGTTCATGACTCCCACATCTAGCGCAAATCTTTCTTATAAGCTCTGGATTCATTTTCCAAACTGCCTATAAGAGGACGTCTCTTGGATATTCAACAGCCATACTGAACTCAACATGTCATCACTGAACTCATTTTTTGCAAACCTGCATCATCTCTCTTAGAGAATGACCGCCATCCACCCACATCAGGCTTCCCAAGGCGGCCCAATCCCTCCCTCATTTCCAGTCATTCACTAAGGCCACTTCTCTTCCGCTTCATTATTTACTGTTCCGTTCCTCATCACCTCCTATCCAGATGTCCTGAAACAGGATAGAGAATTATCATTCCTGCTTCCAGTAACAAACTCTAGGTCCTCTCATTTTTAAGAATCTGACTATATTGATCATCTGTTTAAAACCCAGTAATAGGTTCCTGTTTGCTTACGGTTAAAAGTCCCAACTCTGTAAACAGTCTTCTGTTTACCTGCAGGGTAACAGTCCCACCACTCTGGCTTGGCTTCTGCCATATCAATGACCTACCTTCACATCATGTGCTGGGACCACACCAGGCACTGGCAATACAAAGAAGAGGAAAAATAGGCCAGTTCCAGGCCTTATGGAGGGAATAGTCTACTGCAAGAGTGAGCTGTTTATCAAGACATATTACTCATAAATGGAAAATAAGGCTACACAGGGTAGAATTACAGGGCTGTGAGTGTCCATATGGGTGATTTGACCTGGAGTGGGAAGTTAGTAAAGGCATCGCTGAGAAGCCACATGGAACTGACAGCAGAAAGAAGAGCAGATGCTAACCTGGCAAGGGGTGGGGTGGGAATGTGTATTAACTGTACTTTTAGGACCTCACTGACTGGGCAGAGACGGCCCCTCCCAGGCTTCCCAATTTTTAGACGCCAAACAACTTGCTCAAGAGTGCACCCTGCTATGCCAAAGAACAAACACGGGGCCTACTGTGCATCACCTCTTTTAACTGTTTCTGTTACTGCTGGAGACACTATTCCTCTGCCCTAATCATCCGAGAGTCGAGTGCTAGACAACTAGAGACAGCCCGAATGCCCCAGAGCTGCTGAAACTACTGAAATGAGGCAATCGTAAGCCTGCTTACCCCACCTTATCTTGCTTTTCTGGCATAAAGCACCCTCAAGGCTCTTGCCCATGCTTCCCCATCACTGTTTCTACCTCCAGACCAACCCAGGTACTTCCCCCAGGGCCCTGCAGCGTCTCTCCTCTTGGGAACTGTAACAAATCATCTTTCCAGTGGCAGTTCTCTCCTATTTGTTGGCTTATGCATACCTGCATAACAATAAA